CCCCCCCCCCACCCTGGCGACCGGCCCCAGATCCTCCATCCCACCTCTCAGCCCTCCAAGTCCACTCCCAGCCGGGGATCCGGAGCCTCCAGTCAGTGGTGAGGTGATGAACTGAACTTCTTTGAAAGGTTTCTGAAAGAACGTTTCTCTCTTCGCTGGTATGAAACTGTAACTTTAATTTTTAATGCAGTTTTAATTTTTTTTTTTTTTTAAAGAGCAGACATTCCTGGGCTCCCGGAAAAGCCCGAGATTCCCAACTTGGGTTTTCCTGTCTTAGGTATTTTACCACCATCTGGTTTTCTTGTTTCTCAAGTGCAGAATGTTTTGTATGATGCAACATTTTGGCTGCTCCCCTCGGTGTTGCTGCTTCGGGAAAGATTGTGTGTGCCCTTTTGTTAAAAAAAAAACAAAAAAAACCGGCTGGCGAGGGAAAGAATTCATAACTTGCTTGTGCCTTAAAGGATTGATTTCTCCTCTAGTCTCTTCAGTTTTTATATCTTGGAACTACCTTATTTGCTTACAAAGAGTACCTCTGTCCCTTTTTTTGTAATAATTTTCATTTTAGCAAAGGAGAGTAGAAGTTACTAACATCTGGATCCAGCTGCCTCCCTCAAAACTTCTTTGAAATTCTCGAGATTCTCTTAGTTACTTTTAAGCAGGCTCATTCAAAGCTAGGCTCTGAATTGAAAAGTTAACAGAAATCCAGAACAATTTTGTTCTGTTTTTCCTGAGTTTTTATTTTAAAGAAGGGAAGACATTGAAGGGTGTTTTTCAGACATGGAGAGGACTGATCTGTGAGTGATCAAAACTGTGCTTGTTTTAGGATTTTCTTTCAGTTATCTGTTTTAGAAACATTTTGGTCTGGGGAACTGAAGCAAGAGACTGGTGTAGAACCTCCAGAATATCTTCAAAGAGTCTGTTACTTTGGATGGCAGATATAGTACTCTGAGGTGCAGGGAATATAGGAAGGAACTGAAATGAAAGGAAGAGGAGTGGAAGGCAGCATGGAGAAGGGTGAAGGGTGGGTCAGAGATTAGTATTCAAAATGTTTTACTGAGCTAGGAATAAAAAGGAATTTCCATAAACTCAGAAACAGTATATCTACTAAAAATCTAAAAAAAAAAATAATACTTAATTGGTGAAACTTCAGAAGGAGCATTAAATTAAAAATCTGATAAGGATACTGTCAGCAATGGTTTCTTTTTAGTATTGTACTGGCGGTCCTAGCCAATACAATAAGACAAGAAAAAACAAAGTGTATGAATTAGGAAGAGATCAATGCTTAATGCCCTGTTTACTATATTAACCCTTAAATTAGGAAGGGCGTGGCTCATTGTTTCCCAAATTTGAGTCACTTGCATACCCCCTTCCCAGTTTTTCGTATTTGTGTTAGATGGGTATTACTAATTACTCAATACAACCTTCTTTTTAAAAAACATAGCTTTACCTTAAGCAATAATATTTGTGAAACTATGGATTAGGTGTGATGATTATATTTCTTATAAATATATGATAGAAAAATGTTTGTGAACCAGCTAAAAGCATCCTATTTACCACTTGTTGTAAGCCTTTCTCATGGGCCTTGGTGGCAAAGAACCAGAGTTCGGGTCACAGTTCTTTTCTCACTGGTTGGATTATACTCTGGGTGAGTTGTTTTTTCTCTCTGAGACTTATTTTTCAGTTTGTGAAGAGGTGAAATGTTTTCTGCTGCTATATATAGGCAAAAATTTGTACCGATATAAACCAGAGTAATTGTTTCAAAGGGCAAAAAAAGTGCCAGATAAATTGTGGTAAAGAGTATTTTTCATTTCTTCTGAAAACCTATGTGTGGGAAATGCAAATGGGAGGGAAATACCCTTATAAATTTAGTTATTTTGAAAGCAGTGAGGGGACAGAGGCCTGGGTTCTCCGGTGAGATGTGTTAAACAGTGTTACTTTGCTAAAAGATATCTGTTTGTAGTAGAAAACTGTTATCTACACTTCAAGCACAGGAGTAAAAAGATATTGAGCCTATCTGTTTAAGTATCTTTAAATTTAAGAGAAATCTGCTAGGGCCTTCCCAACTAGTGCGACTGGACTCAAAGCTATATCTCTTTCTTTGTGAATATTGTTTTTGGAGTTATTTGCCTATGAGCCCAGTGACTCCCCATCACCTGTATAACAGCATTTGTCTATTTTCGTCTGTTTACCCCAACGCTGAGAGGATAGGACACATTCCCAAATAGTAAAAGAAGCTTATAAAGACAGTCATCCACAACAGTTGGGGATGCCCAATTTCCCATTCTGAGGGACCTGGTAGGTGTATATATTTTGGTAACACCAGCCCCAGTGGGGAACAACCAACCAATAGGGTGAAGTTTAAACCCTTTAGCAAGGGCATAACGTCTTACCTGACCGCTGCCTGGATTTGTAATCCAATTTGTCCACTTAACTAATTGTTGTGTTCCAAGACACATTACTTAAACCTCTCTGTGCCTCATCTGCACAGTTGGAATATTAATAGCCAACCTCATGGGATTAAATTAGTTAATATATGTGGCATATAATAAGCTTAGAAAAGTGTCTAGTACACAGTATATAAATAAATGCTAATTGTGTGTTATCTTATATTTACATATTTATGCAGTTCCCCCTACTAGATAGACAGTAAGTTCCTTGAGGGTAAAGTCTGTATATTGTTCTGAGTGCCTGGAGTATAAGGGAGTACAAATAGTTGAAATGAGATTGTTTCCTTCTTTCTGACCATTTGCTATCAATGTGTGTCTGCCATGCTTTGGAATCGGGAACTACTATACTTAGATCCTGATGGTCTGAGTCTCAGACCTTGGTCCTTCTTTGCCTGGACTCCAGTCTCCAAAACTCCATGTGATTTTATCTACTCATCATGTTTCCCACCTCCATTATTTATTACTTCTAGTATTTTCATGTATTTACCATAATTAACACCAGTATTTCTTCTTGGTTATGTTCAGAATTTGGAAACCAAGATTTCTGTATTGGGTAAAAGTAAATATTAACTGTTGAACCGCAAAACAAGAGAAGTTGAAAGGAGACTGGATTTTTGAATTTTCCTTTTGCTTGTATAAACCCAACTCCTATGGACACTGCTGCCTTCCCCACCCCCCACTAGTAGCTTTGGTATGATGTGATGATATTCCTGATCTTTGTTTAGGAAGAGTCTCTCTGCAGATTTCACTTTTATTAGCCGGAATTTAAACTTGTTGGTGTGCCATTTTGAATTGGGGCAATCACTGTGGATAACAGTCACTAAGCTGGTAGGATTGGGTTCGTGGGTAAAAATAATAATCTTGTGCAAAGTGACTTAACATATAAGAATAGCTATTTCTTTTGAGTGATTTGGCAGGATTTTTAATGTGCTTGGACCCTGGAGCCAGACTACTTCGTTTGGATCTGGCTTCCTGTGGTGTGTCAGGCAAGTTCATAAATTCTCAGTATCTTAGTTTTCTGACTCTAATATCAGGACAATAATAATAATTTTATAGAGTTACTGAGGGGATTAACTGGTAATCTATATGTATTAATCAGGGTATTCTAAGCTGCTGTTATAATCCACCCCAAACAATGGTTTCTATAAGATTGAAGTTTATTTTCTTTCTCACCTAGCAGTTCAGTTGAGGTGTCCTAGATGTTGGTGTGGCTTTCCTTCTTAGAGTTATATAGGGATTAGGGCTCTTTCCAGCTTGTTTTTTCACCAATCCCCAGAGTATTACCCTCTGAGTAGTCAAAGCTGGTGGCAGAGAAGTCCTGGTTGCAGCCAGTGGGAGGTGGAGAGTATAGAGGAGGCACATCTCTCTAAAGGGCCCCAACCAAGTTCTACCTGTCACTTCCTTTCCTATTCCACTAGAGAGAACTTAATCACATGGTTTCATCTAACTGCAAGGAATGCTGGGAAATGTGATCTAGCTACATACCACCCTATGTAAAGCATTAGAGATAGTGCTTGGTACACAGTAAACACGTATTTTTTGTTGTCGATGATAGTATATTCTTAAATATGGTCTTCAATAGTAAGATTCAGGGGATTCTCTAAATCCTTGAAGTTACATAAAATATTCTGTATGAGTCTTTTATTTCTCTGCAGATTCCTATATAGCCCAAAGGTTAAGAACTATTATTCTAAGAATATAAATGGTAGCATTCTGATTGTCAAGCATAATTCATATAAACAAGGTATAGAAGAAAGGTTTGGGCTAGATGATCACTTGTATATGATTATCTGTGACTTAAAGCATTTACTGGCATAAACTAAGTGCCTAATACTGAGTTAAGCACTATGGAAGATATCAGAAATTATTAAACATTTCCTATCTTTAGGTTTATAAATTTTATTGGAAAGAAAACAATACAAGACGGTACATGCTTAAGGAGTCAAGTAAGGTTCACATTAAGTTGGGCTTCGAGATATGGGGAAAAATGGAAGTAGGTTTGAACTTGACCTTGAAAAAGTGGGAGAAATAGGTGGATCAGGAATAGCCAAGAATGGGAATGTTAGTTGTGATAATCATTTGTAAATTCCTTATGCAAGAAACAATACGTAGATTGATTTTGAACGTGGAAGGAACCAGGAATGATTCAAATCCATAGGGCCAAGGAGACAAGTTATTTAAAAGTTGAGGATGAGACTTTTAAAACCTAACCTAGGTTTTTGCTAATACATACAATATTCCTAGCCTTGTTTATTCTGACAGCACTTCTCTATTTTTTTTGACTGCTGTCTATTCAACAACTTCCAAGTGGCATTTGCGAAGGTGCAAATGGATCATACAGATGGGTAAACTCTCAGCTGTTTTTCCAGCATAAAGTGGGAGTTCTTTATGTTTTGTGTCAAGGGCAGGCTTTAACCTCCTTTTTTTACACACACACACACACACACACACACACACACACACACACACAAAATGAAATACATTTTCTATAGGAAATGATGCTGAGAACTTTGTTCTGATAATTGAACAAAAAACTAACTCAGCATAAGTACAGTGTTAACTTGGGTGTAATTGCTTTGCCATTTATTTTGAGGTTTCCAGAGGGGGAAATTCAGGAGATAGAAATGAAGGCGAAAACATAAGGTTAGTGG